TGGTTGGAGCCGTTCGTGGGGTGGCGTATCTCAGTCCCAGCCTGCAAAACCAGATCTCCTACCACCAAATCCACTGGCGGCGCAACAATTCCGTGAAGATCGCCAGCCGGGATGGTGGGGCGAATGTCCAGTACCCCAACAGCACCTACAAGGGACGCCTGAAACTCTTCCCCAACAACACCCTAAAAATCAGCTGCTTGCAGAAAAACGACAGCAGCGTGTACCAGGTGTACCTGGAGGACGAGGTGGGCAAGGAGCACATTGAAAACATCCTCTTGACGGTGTACGGTGAGCTGGGAGGACGGGAGGGTTGTCCCAGCGCCCCGCAGGGGGACAGGGGGGCTGTGACATCCCGCTGCCTCTTGCAGATCTGGTCCCGAAGCCCACTGTGAATGTCAAAGTGATCAGGGATGACCCGGCGCGGTGCGAAGCCACCCTGGGGTGCTCGGTGGGGCTCGAAGGGGTGACCTACGAGTGGATCCCCCCCAGCAAGCTCCCACCGGAGGGTGCGGGTGCCTCCGAGCAGCACGTCTCCTTCGACCCCTCGATAGAAACCTACATCTGCAAAGTCAGCAACCAGCAAGCTCCCACCGGAGGGTGTGGGTGCCTCCGAGCAGCACGTCTCCTTCGACCCCTCGATAGAAACCTACATCTGCAAAGTCAGCAACCCTGTCTCCTCCAACAACGCCTCACTGACCTACAGGCACCCCTGCTCCTGGACAGGTATGGCCCACGGCGCACGAGATGGCAGAACTCGGGGGGGATGGGCTACAAGGTGACCTTGGCTTTGGAGGGTCGCCGGAGCAGCGGCGGTGACCCTGAGGACAGCGGGTCCCTGCAAGGCTGGAGGTGGCCCATGGGTCAGGAGTGGTGGGTCCCTTTTCCTCCTGCACCGTGGGCTGGTGGGTGGCAGGAGCCCACCTGGGGAAGAAGGGGTCAGGGGGTCCCCTGCCAGGGCTGGGCAGCCCACAGCCCTCCCCACACCGCGGGTCTCCCTCTGCCTCCAGCTGAGTCCTCCGCTGCTGCATCCTGCACCACCACCAGCGTGCTGGTGGCCCTGGGACACTACCTCCTCCTCTTCCTCCTCACTCTGGCTTAAGGATGCTCTGTGGTTGACATCTCTCCTCGTCTCATCACCCCCCACCGTGGGACCAGTGCCTGGATGAGGTCCCCAAACTGGCTGGATGCAGAAAGATGTGGTTGCTCAAAGGAACCATCACAACCATTTGGCCTTGGGACAGGTTGCCCAGGGAAGTGGTGGAGTCCCCATCCCTGGAGGGATTTAAAAGCCATGTAGATGAGGCGCTGAGGGACATGGTTTAGTGGGCAATGGGGGGAGTTGGGTTGACGGTTGGACTCGATGATCTTAGAGGTCTTTTCCAACCTGAATGATTCTATGATTCTAACCAATGTCCGTGACACCAGCACCCACCTGGTCTCACCCACAGCCGCCTGCTTTCCGCCAGCCCAGGCTTTGGTCGCTCTACCGCTGCCTTCAGGGTGGCTCCGTGCCTCAGTTTCCCTCCTCAGCTTTTCTGCTTTGCTTTAATCAGAGGCCACATTCTCCAGATCTGAGCAAAACGGGGATGAAGTCTTTTGCAACGGTGTTTCGAGAACCCCGGCAATGTCAATTGGTAAATTCATGATTAACTGCTTGGAAATCCTCCTCTCCCCGGCCCTGAGATCTGTGGGGAGACCCAACCTGAGCCTTTCCCAGGGCTCCCCCTGGACTTGGGGGATCCTTGGCCACCGCCTGCTGCCAGCGCTGCCCTTTACGGCACCGATGAGCAATGTGACGGTGCAGGATGGTGCACGACGTGTTTAGCCTGAAACCGGTGACACCAGCACGGGTGCAGCCCAACCTCCAGCTCCGGAGCATCTCGAGGGGGCAGAGCTAAGGTGGCACCTTTGGCTTTCTCTG